CTAGAAATTAAACGGTAAACAATAAAATCAATATTTTGTTTAGTTGAAGAGAAGTACAGCGCAACTTAAGACTCACTACGACGGATTTCCACCCCATAAGCTTCTGTTGAACCTGCTGTCCAAAAGTTTCATTGACATTCTACAGTCCAAGCCGATCATCAGACTCGAGGTAATGTTTGTTTGTTACAATAACCATACATTACAGCGTACACCAATTGTTTGGACAATCCTATTAATATTGTATCTAAAATATTGTGCGTTTTAGCTTTTGACTTCTTACATAGAATTAGAAGTGAATAAGCAAAGAAAGAAGAATAAGACAATCATAGGAAAGACCATGTTGAGCTCATTGCTGACTGTTTTGGGTCTAAGGTTTTGAGTCATTGTTTTGAATTCTTTCTCGGTGACAGGAGTCTGTCCATTCAAATGTGCAACTAAATTAAAAAACCTTTTAAGTAGAGTAATGGTGTCCCTCAGGGATCAATAATCAGTCATGTTCTGTAACCTATTTATGTCAATGACATCGAAACATCTCTGCACCATGGACAGTTTAGTATGCCGACGACACAACTCTTTAACTTCAAAAATAGAAGGTTTTGTAGATTTAAATTTGTGCATTTTAATATTTGAAAAACCAAATTTGGCACTAATCCAACAAAACTTCTGTTATAAATTTTTGTCTACTTTCAAGATGCCTGATGTTTTATTTTAAGGTAATGGTTGAAGAAGAAACGATAAACGATCGATTGAGCCACACTAGGCTACTCGGAATACTCCTTGACGAGAGGTTGACTTGGAACGATCATGTTGACAGTGCAAAATTCTCATCGTATTAGCGATGCTGGCAATAACTACATTGTTGTGGATCAACACCGTAGCACTAAGAGGGTGAAGTCTATTATTATACAGTGTGTAAATTAAGTCTGGCACACATTTTTTATCTTTTTTTCTATAGTAGATAGAAGAAATCAATTTGCGGGATTGATTAATAACAAATGTTAGGCACTTTTTCATCATTTTGAAAAAAAATTCCCCTTAAGGGTTAGGTGGGGGTGGGGGGTAACTAAAAATTTTCAAATGACAACCCCCATCTTGTGACCCCTCATTTTAAAGGTCATTGGAAGACAAATCCAAAGATGTTTCTGAAAAAAATTTTTTTGCACCCTATCCAAGATGGCGGTTTAAAATGTACTTAGGGTTGAACGGGTAAATTAGGTATGGCACACATTTCTTATCTTTTTTACTCTTTGTACATAGAAGGAATTAATTTGCGGGACTGAGTAAGAACAAATGTTTGGCACTTTTTCATCATTTTGAAAAAAATTCCCCTTAAGGGTAAGGTGGGGGTGGGGGGTAACTAAACATTTTCAAAAGACAACCCCCATCTTGTGACCCCTCATTTTAAAGGTATTTGGAAGACAAATTTAACGATGTATCTGAAAATTTTTTTTGCATCCTGGGGGTTGTCATTTGAAAATTTTTAGTTACCCTACACCCCCACCTTACCCATAAGGGGAATCTTTTTCAAAATGATGAAAAAGTGCCAAACATTTGTTCTTACTCAGTCCCACAAATTAATTCCTTCTATCTACAAAGAGTAAAAAAGATAAGAAATGTGTGCCATACCTAATTTACCCGTTCAACCCTAAGTACATTTTAAACTGCCATCTTGGATAGGGTGCAAAGAATTTTTTTTCAGACACATCTTTGGATTTGTCTTTCAATGACCTTTAAAATGAGGGGTCACAAGATGGGGGTTGTCATTTGAAAATTTTTAGTTACCCCCCACCCCCCCTTACCCTTAAGGGAATTTTTATTTTCAAAATTTGTAAAAAGTGCCGAACATTTGTTATTAATCAGTCCCGCAAATTGATTTCTTCTATCTACTATAGAAAAAAAGATAAAAAATGTGTGCCAGACTTAATTTACACACTGTATGTCAGTCCACGCTGCCAAGTTTGTATGAGTTGTACCGCTTTAAACACATAACTATAGATAGAAAATACCCCCGCCGCAGCAAACCTGCAGACTAAGCGAATTTCCATTTGACTGATTTGATTTACACTGAAATGTCTACTTACAAATATAACATTTATTCCCGATTTCAATAGAATTAGTTTAACAAGTACTTAGGTTTGCTGCATCAGGGAGGGTAAAACTGTTGTTTTTTTTTTAAATGTTAATAGTTAGTAAGAAATAAAAACATTTTCCAAATTTGATCAAAATATGTTCATAAACAAGCAAACTACAACAGTTTACTTATTCTCCAAAAGAATAACATGGGAATTTTAAATTTACAATTTTTTGGAATTTTCTCCGTAACCATTAGGCGCATAACTACGCTTCAATATACTAAATTAATTGTTTTTTTAAGCTCTACAAAATGGTTTGGAAAGAAATTGCTAAATTTTATGTTTTTTGGGTCAAAAATGGGAAAAACCTATTTTTACCCCATAAAACCCCCCGTAAACCCCCGTTCCCATGGTCCGATCATGCTGGATCGCGAACTCGTTCGAATAAACGTAGGTTTACACGTTTATACCAAATTTCATCAAAATCGGATCATTTTTGCTCGAGTTATCGTGCTAACGGACACATATATATATATATACTAGCTGTACCCGCGGGCTTTGCCCCGTTTAACTTCATAAGTGAGCTCGTTCGCATGGCTCAATCACGTCCTGGTTGAAGTTCGTTCGCTACCCTCACTCACCTTTGGGTTGGAGCTCGTTCGCTGAACTCACTTGCCTTCAGCTTAGCTCGTCTGCTATGCTAACTCGCCTCTAGGTTCAAGTTCATTAGCTGTCGTCATGAATTAAAAAAAAAATAGTGCTGCACCCTGTTGGTAATCCTTGTAACTTTAATGCTATTGGACATCATAGAACAGAACCAACTTGTTTAATTGAAACAGCTGTTAAGATTCTTTAATTCCATTTAAATATGAGTACTCATAAGGTTAACATGGGAAACTCCAGAGCCACTGGGGCGGAGCCCGAAAGCCCGATCAGAATAAAAACTACTTAGTTTTCCTATTTAATGTCCAAAGAATCGGTGTACCGAATTTCAACCTCCTAGATAAATGGGAAGTGGGAGGATTAGTGATGAGTGAGTGAATGAGTGAGTCAGTGAGGGCTTTGCCTTTTATATATATATATATATGAATTTGAATGGATGGTGTTTTTGGCCTCTAGGGACCTCAAAACGAAAAAAAAAATCGGTCCCGCGTCCAGGTCTTACCATGAGTACTACGGTAATAGCTTATTCCCTATATGGGAAATTCGCTAAAACACTACACAGATTCACCATCACAGTAAATCTTAAAACAAAACATGAGTTGACTGTTATTTAACACTATTTTTCCCAGAACCATCCTATCGTGATGTGTACACAGGCAGGACAATGTGTATGCTCGTCAGGCATGCGTCAGGACTTGACCTAGTGGTAGAGCGTGGAACATCGGTCCCCGAGGTCCTAGTAATATCTTGCAAATCACCGATTTTTATTAAAGTGATAATGCCGCAACCCTCTAGGCCTTGAAGTAATGTCTAAAATAGTTCCAGGCAAGAGCCTACGTCATAGAAACTGAAAAAAACACCCAAGTTCCTATACTCATTTATGTTACGATTACAGGTTGACTGCATGTATTTTATACTGGTGTCTATCGGAAAGGACATCGAACAAACTTTTCCCCAAGAGATGGACCAACTATTTTGCATCATGCGAGATGTTTTTCTCACAAACAAGGTGGATAAGTTGTTGAAGCCAACTCTTCTCCAGTTGATTGAACTACGAGCGTCTGAGTGGAAGTTACCGTCCGAAGCTATGGTCTACTACTGCCCTGGGCTTTGTTGAACTCTCACACGGGCAAGGTTTCAAACGGTCCAAATTAACATGGTTTAAAGAGTTTGTTATGTGGTTTGCTTATGCAAATTTATTTTGTATGTACATTTACATACTTATTGGCCTGTCGAGTAAAACGTGTCTAAATTAAAACTAAAATCAATCATAAGTTGAGGAAGTTAACGAGCCTACCTGAAACCTTGCCGTGTTTAACCTATCCAGTTTTATCATGTAACATGTTACCCTGTTTAAGGATTTACTAACAGTGACTACCTAGTCCAATGTTGATAGTTGATAGCTAAAGTGTTTAGATACTGTTAGTGTTTTGTATGACTAATTTAAATGTAAATATTGTTATGTAAGAGATTTTGCGCAGCAAAATATCGTAAGACTGCTTATCGAATAGTGTACGATGACTTAGCACCTTGGAGTTTTGTTTTAACTTTTAACTAATTTATGATCCGGAAGTTTCATCCAGTGATTTTAGTTTTGAATCGCACTGGAAAAACATTCCTTGTAGGGACAAACAATAATTATGAAAGCTAACCAGTGTGACTTAATTAGACTAAAGCTATGTACAGTTAAGTAACTTTTGAGTATTGGATATGTTTGCTTTTTCACTCGGAACGCTAAAATACTCATGTTTAATTTATTCCTATGAATAGTTAGTTTTGTGAGACCATCTTATTCTGTTTAATATTAAGTTATGAAAGTGTGTGTTATGAGGATGAATTTGTGTGATGTGATATTGTTTTCTGTTTTTTACTCGGAGGTGTGACTATTTTAGAATTAGTTAGGTTGTTAGGAACTTTGGCTCAGCTGAGAGACAATGTGCCATTTCTAGTGCCTTATTTTGTGGCATTTTTGAGGCAGACAAGCCTAAATAGTTGTGCCAAAGATGTGGCCAAATGTATTTATGATGTGATTAAATTATAACATGTTTAATAATACACATTGCGTTTCATTTGCTGTTATCATGTTCACCTCGTATTCAACAACTTTTGGTGAACCGATGATCTTAAATAAATTGGGTAGCTCTAATCTTAGCCGTTGCCGAGGGTATTTGTTACTATATACGCTACAAGTTTGGACATTTTACACATAAATACAGCCATAGAAGAATGGGTTTAGCCACAGATTGTACAAACAAAGCCAAGGAGTATAAGAAATTAAATTTAATAATAACAACAAAACATTATTTATCCTTAGTTGGTTCTGCGGAGCCTGAATCATGCCAACTTCCCCTCCATTCTTCTACCAGTAAACTGTGGCTGTCTGTGCTCCAACCTAAAAAATAGTTACAAATATTTTGTGTCATACGTCATGGTAAGCAGCTGCTTTTTCTGTACTCTTATTAGACCGTCGTAGAAAGGGAAGGAGTTGGCGGTACATGAAATTGCACGTTTCATAAGCTTCCCACGGAATCATCAAACTTGTAGGCTACCATAAACACCTTCTTCCCTTGTAGCGTAACACACTATACAATGTACAGTGGTACCTCTTTAATCCGAACCCCTGTAATCCGAACATTCACTAATCCAAACGCCTCATTGCTGTACTCTATACACAGTACAGTGGTTCTTTATTGTATAGGTACTGTATTTATTGATATACGCACCGTAATTATTTCAATTCTAATGTACAGTACTGTTTATTCCCCATGTTTACTACAGTATTAAATAAACACCAAATTTTACTTTATAAAGCATTTTTCACTTTCCCTAGTTATGTAAAAAAAATAATTTTTTCCTAGTTTTTATGTAAAAACAACAATATGTTCTGTAATCCGAACTATTCAATAGTCCGAACTACCCCTGGTCCCAATTAGTTCGGATTAAAGAGGTTCTATTGTAAATAATTTGGTTTTTCCACAAGTTATGATAAAATTGTGTTGGACTATTTTCACAATTACATATTTACATAGATTTTATTGATAAACCAAAAATAATTAAGCAGTTTCTTACTTGGACACAATATTAAATGGGCCTTACCTCCACTTAAAATACCTTGGTGGAACTTCTTGAACTCTCTGTCTACAATATCATTGGTAACAGAAACCGCTTCTATTGGAAAGCCCGCAAACTTGGAAGTGTTCAGCTTCTTCAATCCAGCCTCAACACTCGTTAGGATTTTGCTTTTGCTTATTTCTCTGTCGATCTTCTGAATGGGAGACAAAAACCAATTAAGAGACAAAAAGTGACATGAATCAAAGAGGTTGGCACCTTTTTTTAACATCATGCCTGTCCTACGTAGTAGTGCTAGGAACGTACCCAGTAAAGCTTGGGGTTGAACTGTAAAAATACAAGAATTAACTAAATGAATAACTACTGATAAATAATAATGGTAGCTCTGGCATCGAACCTACAACATTACTGGCTTACACTGAGTCCATCTTGATATCAACTGAGTCACTGACCCACCAAACATTTTTTGTGTTGGAGGATTGTGTACACCAAACAGTTGGAGGATTGCTGTAGCGATAACAAGCTTATCTGAATGTAAAAATAAACGGTATCGGCAAACTGAGACATACTTTCTCCTGTTAGCTATTCAATTACCCTTAAGCGGTGGGAGTAATTATATTTTCACAAATCAAAACAATTGTGAAAAACTTTTTTTACCATAATTTTTACAGCCTCGGGGGTTGTACTTCATTTTTAGAATCAAAAGGAACGTTACATGCTAAATTGTAATAAAAATTGTTCAAACCGTTTTAGTGAAATTTAAATTGTTCTGTAATTTTATGGACAAATCAAAATTTTAAAAATGAAAAAAACACATGGAGTTATTATAGAGAGGTACCCACATATCAAATTAAATTGTTTGTCAAAATCGGACCACAGTGTAATCTGTAACTCTGAACACATCCAAAAACACAACTAGAGACTCTTAGTAGGGTACAGAAGAGGTTAAGTAAGCCTTATCCAAACTTCTCTGGACCGAGCCCAGTCTGGAAAACGGGTTTTCCGGTGTCCCCTACAACGTGTTAAATTAGGAATGCCTAATGCATCCTATATACGTCTAATGCAACTAACCCAAATATTTTACATAACTTTGGGAGAGCATTGTATTTAGACATGAGATCACTGGTCTAAAATCTTTCCCACAAAAGTCTTTTCACTACCACCCAATTCCTGCCGATCCAGAAATACAAGTCTGTAGGCTGTGAGAAATATGTTTTGATATTGCCTTCCAAGAAGTGCCCAATGAAATGAGGACAGGTAAAACCGAAGATGGAAATAAGGGGTTCTTTTGTAACTTACTTTAGTTGTGGAAAACATTGAAAACTCACAATTGGAACATTATCCACTAGAGCAATGGTCAGTGCTACCAACACACTATGAAAGTAAGCCTGCAGCACGTCCAGCGTAGTGGCACCACTGGCAAACAGCACATAGACTGTGCGAGTCCTACGGTGAGGCAACAACAGGTACAGTCTGTGTCGGAACATATTGGACACGACCAGCAACTCCTCACTAGTCATCACACCAGACTGTACCAAGTGTTTCACGCTGCAGCCCAGCTTCACGTGAAACCCACACAGATCCTTGGCTAGAACCAAGAAAATAAACGATCAGCAAACTGACAGAAATCTCTCTCATTATTAGCTTCACATAAAAATTATGTGTGGATGTGCACAGAGCTACAGACTACGCCTGTAGTACTATTTTGATGAAATTTGGTATATGGGGAGGTGGGAATTAATTAATAGTGTCTCCAAGCGTGCTTTCAATCTTAGTAACATTTTATGGGAAACATCACAAAAATTGTGATAACTTTTGATCTGTTATTTTTATAGCGTTTTGGGTTGTGCAGTTATTTTATGGTTTTTTTTTTAATGGCTATAACAAACTAAATTAAAATTAAAATCCATATAGCCGTTTATTGTAAAAATCAGATTTTTCCGTTATGCTATAAGTTTTTATGAGTAAATCACAATAAAAAATAAAAATTTATAATAATGAAAATCCCCCCGGGAACATAACAGGGCCAGTACATATAAAATTTCATCAATATTGAACCAGTTGTCTGTAGCTCTGTACACATCCACACACATCACTTCAAATACCACTTTTTTGGGTTTACAGGGACCTAACACGGATATTTCCGTCCAAAACTCAATTATGTTTATATGGGTATCGATGGCTATAGGGGTTAGAGTAAAAATAAGTAATTTTTGTTGTAAAAACTGGAAAGGAAAAGGTAAGCTATAGGACAATTGTCTACTTGTGGTGACGATGTTGCAGCGTTTGCGGGAGATGACAACAAAGTTGCCACATTCACCTAAGATGACAATGTTGTTGCAACATTTGATCCCTATTGGCCACGGAAACTTAATAGCTTTGCCAATGATAGTGGTTATATTCATACCTAAGCCGACATTTACTGTTTATTGTTTCGTGGAGGTATTGTTAATTTTGTGACATCATCACTGTATTCCGCAAAGTTTCAGGCAACATCACTAACATTACCAATTGCAGCAACATTGATTGCCTTGCTGACGGTCACAAACTCATCTCTAGAATTTTCAATGTTCTTGGCATTGTTATTAACATTGCCAACAACACATTAATATTTCAAACTTTGGACAATTTTTTGGCGATATTGCTAGCTCCTTCGATGTTCGCAGTGACATTGCAAGCTTTCCCGATTTTTGTGATGATGTGGGTAGCTTCGGTGACATAGTAATCTTCGACTAAAGTCTTAAAAACATTCAAAATTTCCAAACTTAAGTTAAGATTTTTGAAATAGAACTGTTATTAATAGCCGGACTCTACTATAGTTTACTTAACTAAAATATCAGAACCTTATAATTTTTCACCACAACGTCTGTCTTTAAAACACACTATTATTTTTAAAAATGAACTTTTCCACTGCCAATTTCTGCTAATATTTAGATTAAAAAAAAAATCTAAGTCATAACACTGACGCAACTGTCATTAGCTACCTACGCAGATGACACTACTCTTCCGTGTACAGATAAAGATGAAGCCATGCTAACAGGGGATATGTCACACTCCTTGGAACAATCAGCTATCTGTTTCCATGCAAACTATCTCTTTTTAAATGCCAAAACTCAAAGTCTGATTTTTTTCTCTAAGGCAGATAGGCGATAGACCTATCAATGATTCCAATCATGTTAAATTACTTGGCTTAACCCTAGATAATAAGTTGTTATGGGATGCTCATTTTGCAGTGACATGCAGCAAATTATCAAGAGTTGTACATTTATTAAATTTGAAGGTAAATGTTCCCAAACAATACTTAAAAAATAGCCTATGTTGCATTTTTTCAAAGCATAATTTTATACGGCCTAAGCCTATGGGGGCAGTGCAACTGATGTTAAAAGTATCTTACCTATTCAGAAGAAGGCAATTAGGTTAATATCTGATGCTTCTTATGACGCTCATTGCAAACCCTTATTTGTATATGAGAAACTGATGACTGTTTACAGCTTGTTTATTTTTGATGTTTTAGTTAAGTTTAAGGAAAATAGTATTGGGAATGTAGTAACTAGAGCCGAGGTGCATGAGCATGACACAAGAAATAAACATCTAATAGATATACCTTATGATAGACTTAGAAAAACTCAACTAAACTGTGATATCTTAGTAATAAAACTATTTAATGCTTTGCTTTATTCAGCACGAAACCTGGAGATTCGTCAGTTTAAACGGAATCTGCGAGAATTGTTATTGGCGCATCCTTTGTATGCTATAAAAGAATTTTTTGAAATTCCTACAGCTATTGGAAGTCTGAAGTTTGAAGTAGATCCTAACTGATTGTTACCAGATGATTATTATAAATGAATTGTCTGATTCCATGTAACTGCATGTTTAAAAGACCAATAAAATTCTCATTCTCATTCATTCATTCCCCTACAACTAGTATCCGATTTCAGTCGCAGACTTTTGGTCGGTGGCGGTCCCAGGGGAGGGGATGGGAGGTATATATCCCCCTCCCGAAATATTTTTATTTTATTAGCTAACATAAATACTGTTAGCTTGAGCATATTTAAGAGCTAAAATACGTATAAAAATACATTTTAGGCTTTAAATTCCACATTTTTTTCCCAGGGGGGCGGGGCGGACCCTCCTTTTTTCAGGGAGATATTCCATACCACCCAACCCCCCGGTGTTCATCCCCCTCCCTCGAAATGAAATCCTGGGACCGCCACTGCTTTTGGTATAGCTAGATTAGTGGTTTTATACTATCACTATTCAATCTACCTCCATAAGAAAATCCAACAAACACCGACTCCCATTGGTTGACTTGTCGTGGACTGAATGAGTTCTCGGTAGTCAAGTACTTGTGTAGATACAAACAAAGTCTCTCACTGTTGAAGGTGACCAAAGCCAACGACCTTACTGCCTTATAGTTGGCCACCAGGTGAAGCAATGTCACAACGGAGAACAACAGCCACACTGACCTATACAACAGGAGTAGTGGATGGTAGATCGAGACCTTAATTTACATTCTTAATGTTAGGCACTTGGAAGTACAGTAGAAACTTCAACTGTCCGAATCAATTTGAACTGTAGCACATTTGGACAATCAGATTTTCATTGAAATTCAGGGGTGTTTTAAGGAAAAGTGGCAGAGTTGGAGGTGAGTTTTACTATTACCACCGCAAAAGCCGCGATCCAAATATTCACGCTTTTGCTGCTATCGCACAACGATTATGATTTTACGTCACCGCTGGAGACGATGATCTACATGACCGCGGGAAAGGTTTTGTATTTTGCTTCAATCAAGGCTTCTGCCCTCTTTAATAACAATTCTTATTACTGTGGTTTTAAGTTTTTAAAATTCTTTATACAAGTGATTTGGAAGCGATTCAGATAAGTTGGAGTTCGGATAGTTGAGTTCTACTGTAGAAGACTTTTATTTGTTAATAAACACATTCGCGACAGTACCACAATAGTACAATATTTTTCATTCATATGGACCAGCAATGCACATATGCGATGGCCGGTTTCTACCCACAGACTGTTGTCACATATTTGCATCGGTGTCCCAATTTTATTAAAAAGGTTATATCTTCGTAACGGTCTACTTGAAGGCCCTGAATTCTTTGCAGTGGTCTACAGAGATGACTGTTGCACATATGCGTCACTTCGTCTGTGGATAAGATGATTAGTGAAATCATATGATAGTTAGTTGCCAAAACAGTTTTTTTACTTTGCTGCATCACTGGCCCCCAGGCTGCAAGTACTGTGAACCAAGTGACACCCGGTATAGATGCATAATATTAAAAGGTATACTGTATCTCGGTCCGTGGCAATGACCGCAGCGTCCCATATATGTGGGGATTGGTAGCAAACATCTTAACAGTCTTGAAAGTATCAAAAGTATAGTGGATACTACCAAAGCATCAATTTTTTTTAGTTGTCAATGTCAATCAAATATCACTTTGTTTCTGGCTTAAAGGGAAAAGTATTAGTAAAGTGCTTCAATAATCCGGCAGCCTTGGGATCTACGAAAAGGCTGGACAATCCAGAGACCCAAACTAGTGAATTGGAGGAATATTACCAAGTAAATTTGATTGTGTATGTGAGTTCTGTGTTCTGTCCCTGAACAGTGCAGTTTACCGTTTGTAGGGGTGTGCGAAGCATTGAAAATGAATAAAAATTCTGTGAGACTTAATCAGTATTATTTCACTCGCTCATTCTAACATTTCAGATGACGTTACAAAAATAATAGGGTATTCTCAGTAATATATTTCCAAGGTAATAGGCCACACTTAAGTATTAGTATTGCATATTTATCCTATTACATTAGAAAACGTCCAACTCTACAACCTAGAACTTTTTTTTCATTGAATTACTCACGTTGCATCCTCGGTGTATGTGAGAAGAGCCATTCCCACAGTGGAAGCCATGAGGTTTACACAAGTCTCCTGGCTGCCGTCTTTAGCTGACACGTCCCCGTTGTTGCCTCTGATGGCCTGCTCAACAAGAAGTGGCGTTAAGACTCACTGTGCGAAACATTACAAAATTAGATCCCGTCTGATACTCTGTAGCTTAGTAAGTGTAATTGACAGTGCCCTGACAAACAGGTGAAGATGATTGGTCTGTTATAACAACCAAAAAATGTACTTTTAATCAATTTGTTCATTTTGTTAAAGGTTAAGCCAACTTTTTTTTGTCCTAGGACGCTAGGCACGAGCCCAGGGTTGTTTTTCACATTACTTCAGGCTAGACCTAGGGGTTGCGGCAGTATCTCTTAGATAAAATCCATTGGTGACTTGGTGGGGTTTGAACCCGGGACCTCTGGGACTTAAGTCCCGCGCTCTAACCACAACACCAGCTCGCTCCCGAAGGGCTAACTTAATAATCATTGAAAGTATAAATACATTGTTTAACTATAGTAAAAGTATAGTAGGTATGGTTTTTATCATGGGGTGAGGTCTAGGTTTAGATATCATTATCTTTTAAGATGGGGATGCCACCTATGTGTGTATAACCCAAATATGCGCAAAGGATGAGTGTAGAATGTGAAGTAAAGGGTATCATATTCCTGGAGAACTTATTGTTTTCCCCGTCATATCTAATTTTTTTAAAGAGGATAGTCCACCTACAGCTCAAGATGGGCAAGTTAAAAGCAGACAAAAAGTTCGCCGCACAATTAACTAGACATTTCGCCCTTACAAGGAGTGCTTCTTCAAAAGGAAGTAGTAGGTAATTCTAATTTTTCTGAAGAAGCCCCCCCCCCCCCTTGTAGGAACGAAAAACTTTAATAATTGTACTATGCAGGGCCGGATTTATAAAATAGGCTTACATGCTTCTAGGTTCCCCCTGTGATTGGCCCTGGGCCACTAGTGGTGTGGTTTGGGAGTTAAGAATACCCCATCCACCAATGGAAGCGGTCTGGGAAAATGTGATGAAAATAGTAAATTAGCAAAACGGCAATTTTAAAGGGAATTCAAACTAAATAAATTGTGTTTATTGGCCTAACAATAACAAACATAACTATAAAACTTTACCACTTAAAACATAATGTTCATACTAAAGATGAGAAGTTTTAGGATATTATTAGACAATTTTGATATAATGAATTTAGTCACGTTATTGTAGGTCTCGGTAGCAACAAAAAGACTACAAGATCGTATCACTCATCCTGCACTTATATCCATTCATACTTGGATTAAAATACCTAACTTTGTATGGTCGCCATTTTAGAAGTATTAAAAGTAAACAAAATGTGGTAAGTTAACGAGAAAAGAACAAAGAAATATTTAGTATTTTAGATGTCTTGTATCAAGTATTTACTATGGCGTCGTGGGTGGGAATAGTGTTTCATCTTGACTTTTCTCAATAAAGTAGGTGTATATACAAACGCGACCCATGTTTTTCCGAGTCAGAGCTCAACAATGGCTGGTATGGGTGGAAAAAATTGTAAATAGCATTCAAATCAGTCATGTTTCTCCTGTGATTGCGTAGAAGTCGTGAACATCTTTCATTTTGAGTTGTGTTTTATTGATGGTGAGCACTCCCACACTAAACAATTTATAGCCACATACTGCTACATTGTAGTATTTACGATAATAACATACCAGTGATATTTATTTGTAAAATGTAGGCCTAATTGTGGTACACCCCCCTTAATGGCATTGAGGCCTTAAGCTAGGGTTTCCAAGATCACGCCGGGCGGACAGTGTGAGTGGACAAGCGTGATTACGTAATCAAGTTTAAATTGAAGCCGTGCTTTTATATGGGTTGCGGTTTCCAAGCGCGAGCGATCACGCCGGACATGAGTTTTCCCGCTATCTGTCCGGCGTGAGTCCAGAGCGTGGCACGCTGGAAATGACCCAAGTCATTTCTGGCGTGCACGCCGAGCGGACAAGTGTAGGACTCTGTGAGGATTCTTTGTAAAAATGTGAAAAAACTGTGAATGTCCGCTTTCTTGCAAACCACTCTCACGCTAAACTTCATCGGACATCCGCCGGACAAAAATTATCGCCAACGGACATCACGCCGGACAGATCACGCTGGCGTGATCTTGGAAACCCTAGCTTTAAGGCGCGCGCCTATGTTGCCTATTCTTAGATCCGGCCCTGATGCTGTGAACTTGTAGTGTGCTTTCAACTGACTGTAACTCTTTTCTACGATAAGTTTGTTGTGTATCTCTTTCCTTCACTCTTAATCCAAGTTTTAAAGGGACTTTTAGTACCTCTATAAATTACGCAGTACTGAAACAACTAACTTACATGGTGTTGTGTGATGGCAGCCCGGCTTGCGCCCCCTGCTACTCCCACAATGCCTTTCATTGATGTAGTCAGACAAAGCACCTGCGTCGGGTGTTGGGGAAACATCGGCAGCAACAGAAGTTCTAGGAACATAGCTGCGTCGTTGACTATGTCGGCAAACAAACGCCACTTTTTGGCATCCGTGTCTAGTGCGTGCCTGCCACAGGTAAATAGGCTCAATCGGTTACCAAAACCAGGAATAGTTTTTGAAAGAATGAAAAACATAGGCCATAGGGATACACTATGCTCTTTTTAGCCTCTCAATTACAAAGATAATTTTAAGGAAGTGTGAATAAGAAATAAACTTTGTTTGGAGACTAAAAAACGTGAAATACATTAGACACGCCTAGCTCTGGTTACTAAAAAGACCCGATACAACTTAAGACTATATTCTTAGTAATCTACATAGCCTCGAAGTGATAATGAAGAATTTAGCCTTAGAGATCTACCGTCCTACCAAAAATTTAACATGGGAGAATTACCTTACCCCTTCCACCAGGCAAAAATGATTCTGCCAATCATTCCAATTCCATCTTTCAACACCCACGTGATTGTAGCACTGAGGGCTGTGGCAGTTGCGTCTCCCACTCCTACGCTCTTCATTACAGCATGTGTCGTCAGGATGCCAGATATCGTACTGCAGAATGCCTGTGCCAAATTGATTTTTGATTCACTTTTCATATAGGCCTAGACCATATGAATCATCATCAATTGAGATGGAGACACCACCTAGGTACGTATATTTTAACCCAAGAGTGAAGAATGACACCCCCAGCGGTTTCATTAGCCAGGATCATTATTTATTAAAAGCCCAATGATTAAGGAGAGCTGGGAGATTCACAACGTCAAAAAGCTATACACTTATTTCAGAATTGAACCGATGACCTTTTGATTAGGGCCTACATAGGTACTAGGCATAATCGCCAAGCTAACCATAACCACTAACTATAGCCACTGAGCTAACTTACGCAACTATTCATATCACTCATTAGGCCTACATATCAGTCAAGTACCTATACAACCAAGTTTGCATTTAATAATTTTTTTAGGTTTTCTGTGACACTAATAAAAACACTTAACAAGATTTTAAAATTGATTGACACACATCAATCAAATTAAATGACACATGTGACACGAGAATTCATGTGTTATGTTAATCTTTTCACTAAAATGTTTTCATTGCAGTTATTTCAGGCCTACATGAACAGCAGTTGTTTGAGATAACAAAAGAGGCAGCTCTCAGAAACTACACAACTTAAATAATTTTGCATAAACTTATTAGGTTCATGTGTAATTTTTCTAGTGTAAGTTACCATACTTAGCCTAAGTAAACACTACACCTATGTTTCCATTTGTTGATTTACCTGGACAGTGTCCCAGATCTGGTAGCTAATGTAGTCGTCACGAACACTCACAGGAAACCCTTGAGGAAGGAACACTTCAGTAAATAGATCTGCAGCTCGGGAAAAGATGTTTGTCCGAGGGGGGCTCTCCAAACCATCACTTAACTCAATAAGCGAACTGCTACCTTCTGAGTAGAAATGAACATCAAAAATATTCACAATTAATCATCTATTGTATGTTAACATTATTAACTAGGCCTCCTTTTGTAGATAATAGAGATAGCCTACATAACTAAGCCATGGATTTCCTTTATCTAAGCCTAATCCTAATTGTTTAGTTTTTTAAATGTCAAATTAACATTTAGTGTCCTGAACTTTAAGTTAGGCCTCAGTAAAGTTTGGGAAGAACTCCGACTGCATCGTTTATAATCGATTGGGCTGCATTTTAGTTTACGTCCTACTCTCATTTGAATGAAAAATAAGTTATTGATAGCCTAATAGGCTATAGATTATTCGATATATCAATTATTTCATTCGGTTAGTTAGGTAAGCTTTTAAACCTAACTAATAACCAAACTTGATATATCAAATGAAATAATCGATATATTCATTTGAATGAGTGTAGGACGTAAACTCAAGTGCAGCCATCGATTGTTAGGAATTTGGTTAATCTACGACAGCCTTGGTTTGGTTATCGATCAAAATAAAACTTGTTTGAAAATACAAAGTAGTGGGGTAGCCTATCATCAACATGATCATATCACTTGGATTTCTTCTTTAAATACTTAAGTTACTGTAGGCCTAGGGGAAGTTATCATTATAGCCTTGATAAGGCTCCTTGTTAGTCAAAGAGAAAAATTATTCAATTGTTGGTTTTTTTAGTTTAGAATCCATTACAGAGAGTAAAGTTTTTTTGTAGTAAAATGTTCTTAACTTACTTGAATTTCTGACATAAATGCTGCTAATTCCTGATGTTCCATATTTCTCACTATAAATGATTGAGCGAGGCATAATGCAGGAGAATCGACACAATAGTAGAATGACCGTTGAGGTGTTTTAAGTAAATTGACGATGTTTTACATAAAGATCTACTTGGAAGAAAAGAATGTAATTTAAATCTAGACCTAGGGACTAGGGTAGCCAATTCAAGTTTTTTATGTTTATTTACATTACATAGCGTCGTCGTAGTCAGTCTCTACAAACTATTGACGTGTTCACGTGTTCTGTTCTGTTGTTGTTGTTGACACTGACAAGTGACAATACTAACTGACATTAGCAGCAGATAACTCTAGCGGCGGATTTTGCAATCTTTAACAGCTGTTAAGGCCGAAGAATTGTTTATTGTTATTTAAATGTTTTACATTGTTAGCCATTTTTTTAAATATCCCTCATTTCAGTCATTTATATCCTATTTTGTCTTATAAATTATTATTGTGTACTTAGATGGATATTGTGAATATATTATTGTTAGTATTTATTACAGATTATGATTTTTTATGTATTTCTATATGTAAATGGCTCTGATGGTCGATGAAACAATTTTTTAATGGTCTTAAAAATAAATTTTTTAAATATTTTTTTGATTTTTTGGTTGAATATATTTACAAAATATTTTTAATATATTAAGACCCGTCAAATGTTGTGGAAAATGGTTCGTAATGATAATATAGGCTACCATTTTGGATAGAGAAGAGATAGCGTACTCTGGTTTTCATCATTCTTTAAGTTTTTGTACACACTTCAAAATGAGGTGTCACTTGAAGGGGGTTATATTTAAAATATTTGAATTGCCCCCAAATCCACCCTTTTGGGGGGACAGTCAAAAATTTCAATATCATAAAATGAAACTTCCCGCTATGATTGCACGACCACCAAAAGGATATCTCTGTATATTTACTTGGAAAAATATTATAGGGGGCGGGGGGGTCTTGACTTTTTATTCACCCTGTATAAATATTGTTAGGAATAAAAACCCAAAATCGGTGCAATTGTGAAGCTATGAATATTTTTGGAACCAATTTTGCTTACAAAAAAGAACAAAATTAATTTAGCTACCATTAAACAATTAACGACGAAATCAAATTCCAGATTTTATGCATTGCTGTCAGCTTGAAGCGGAATTTAAAAGACCAAGCTGTAATTTAATGCAAGCGAAGCCACGGGTGAATGATAATATGATATACTTTATAAAAAAAATATCTATAATATTATTGTTTATATATTGTTTTATTGTTCAAATATATATGTCCCATGTCCTATCACCAACGACATAAAAGAGGGTGACACTCGAATATTATGAGGGGTGTTGACCTGTAAAGTCCTAAGAAGTGATCAGTGTGAGAAACAATGGTTTTTAGGAATACATTAAGACCTACACAAAATTGCAGGGGATAAATGCCAAGAGTCTTCGTTTCACTTTAACGTCAACAGTTCTCCATTAATTTCTGCTATCGCGAGGACAATCAATAAGGCGCTGGGACAGTCATTAAATATAACTAAAATTCTTTCAAAATCACTGACATGGGTACCTTTAACATGGTTCCAGGGCTAAGCCCTGAAAGTTATCATGAAATTGATGGTATATAAGCCTACTCGATGAAAGTCTTCATGTATATGTATCAAGTTACGGTTCCATCGGTATAGCGGTGTCTGAGTTTATCACTGCTAATCAAATATACAAAAAAACCTACATCCTCTTTTATACTATAGATACCAATATTTTGTTCTTCTTCGTGATGTTTCAGTGGGCTGAAACCCTACTGGCCTGAGGCTGTTTTAGGACTTTGTCCTCTTCAGTCAGTATATTGGGATAAGGAATTGACTATACACTTCTAAAATGCTTAACTTATGAATGAAGGGGTGTATGACAATGGTATCAGGCAGTGGTTAAGAAGGGGTGGTGGTGGGGTGTGGTGTAAGGGAGGCGGGGCTTCGCCCTCGCGGAAAGTCTTATCGCAGGTATAGGAACCAAGGATTATAAGGGTCACTCTGAAATTCGGAGGTCGCGGGATGTAACACAGTTTCGAACCATCAAAAAGCTAGTGGCTTTTCTCAATATAGAAACGGTGACCTTTTGATTGTTAGGCGAGGCGAGCACTATAACCACTCGGCTACCCAGCCACATATTATTCCTGTGCTACAGTCATTAATAGGATTTCGTGGTAAAGAATTTTATCAAATTTCTAAATAAATAATAATGAGTCAATAGTATTGTCACAACAATTATAGCATATGCATTTATTTTGCATACAATTAATTTTACAGCTATTTAAAACATTCATTATATTTGTCCTTAGTCCAGTGAAAACTTGATTGTAAGTCAATACAAGCAGCAAGTGCAATACCTACTATAATTACAATAAGTAAAGTATGCTGTTTCATAAAAACTGTAATAAATTCAGAATATAGATCTTTTATTAAATTGCATCATCCCTTTTAGGGGCGGTTTGGGAGCTCGGTATTAGCGCTAGTCCGCGACTAAATTTGGATATTTCCGGTATTTTAGGCTGCCGCCTCGAAAACGGGTTTGTGAGCTCGAGATCAGTAAGGCGCGCGCCTAACTTGTGCAGGGATAATCTCGCGCCTAAATATTGTTGGTTTGGGAGTCAAGTAGACTTAGGCGCCAGCCTAAGAGATAGTCTCGGTGGGTTTGGGAGACCAATTTCGGGACTAAGAGTTATGTTTTCGTCATAAAAATCAGTGAGTTTAGTCCCCAACTTTAGTCCTGCCAGGGGGCAGGTCTAAGTTGACATCATGCCGGTATTAGCTCATTAGCAAGTTAATTGTTTACATATCTTACTAATATTATAAATCTGAAAGTTTGTGAGTTTGTGTGTGTGTTTGTGTGTGTGTGTGTGTGTGTGTGTTGCTCAATCACGCATAAACTACTGGACGGATTGGGCTGAAATTTGGCATGATGATAGCTCACATTCCCGATTAACATATTATTATCCCAAAAATCCTTTCGGGCTCCGCCCCAGTGGCTCTGTAGTTCCCCATGTCAACCTTATGGTTTTTCATATTTAAAAGGAATTAATGAATCTTAACAGCTGTTTCAATTAAACAAGTTGGTTCTGTTCTATGATGTTCAATAGCATAAAAGTTACAAGGATTACCAACAGGGTGCAGCACTATTATTTTTTTTTAACAGCTAATTTCCAACCAAACGGTGAGTGAGCGTAGCGAATGAACTTCAACCTGGAGGCGAGTTAGCGTAGCGAACGAGCTAACCTGAAGGCAAGTGAGCGCAGCGAACGAGCTCCAAAGTTGAGTGAGCGTAGCGAACAAACTTCAACCAGGACGTGAATGAGCCATGCGAATACTTATAAAGTTAAACGGGGCAAAGCCCGCGGGTACAGCTAGTTAACTATAAGGATGTTATATTGGAATTTGTTATTAAATTCCGAACATTTTCATTACTCTCAAAGTATATTTGATAAAACTTTTTTTTAGTTTTCTGTTGTTCAAATTAAAACTAAATTTAACGAAAGATTATTTGGTTTTTGTTTTTACTGTTAACTGCAATACAAATATGGACCCTAAATAGAATTTCTTTCAATTGAGAGTTTGGCTATAAGCACCCGTACCTTAATTATAAATATTTTATTACTAAGGAAATAATTAGCAACCACATGCATAACCCCCACTCACCCCCTACGAAAGAGTGAAGAGATAGTAAACAAAACATAAAAAACTGCAAATAGCTCACAGTCATAATCGTTATTTTTTAATTGCGTTGTAATAGAGCTCAGTTCAGGACTTTCAATTCAATTTATTTTAATAGCTTTAGGTTTAACAAGTAACTAAAACTACCTACATGTAGGTATGCTGCTACAGGGAGGGCAATAAAGTGCATTTTTTTACCAAAATATTAACAGCTTTATATAAAATAAATAAATCTGCCAAGTTTCATAAAAAAATATCCATAAACTACCAAACTACAACAGTTAACATATTCTCCATGAGAATCACTTTTAATCACATGGGAATTTTAAATTTACGATTTTTTGAATAATCTCTGTTGCCAATAACCGTACAAAACATTTTAAGATACTAATTTGTTTTTTATACTCTTTAAAATATTTTAAAGATAAAGATTTATGTTTTAGGGGTTAAAATTGAGAAAAACACTATTTTTATCCCATAAAACCCCGGGTTCCCATGGTCTGATCACGAATGGTTAGGTTCACGAACTTATTAAGGTTTATCGCACCTTACACTTTCATGCCAAATTTTATCAAAATCAGACAAAAATTACTCAAGTTGTCACGTTCATGGACTTATCTTACTAATATTATAAATCTGAAAGTTTGTGTGTGTGTTTGTTGCTCAATCACGCATAAACTACTGGACGGATTGGGCTGAAATTTGGCATGACGATAGCTCACATTCCCGATTAACATTAAAGCATATTCTTATCTCAAAAACCTTTTCGGGCTCCACCCCAGTGGCTCCTGTAGTTCCCCATGTTAATCTTATGATTTTTCATATTTAAAAGGAATTAATGAATCTTAACAGCTGTTTCAATTAAACAGGTTGGTTCTGTTCTATGACGTTCAATAGCATAAAAGTTACAAGGATTACCAACAGGGTGCAGCAGTATTAATGTTTTTTAAATTTATGACAACAGCTAATTTCCAACCAAAAGGTAAGTGAGCATAGCGAACGAACTTCAACCTGGAGGCGAGTTAGCGTAGCGAACGAGCTAACCTGAAGGCAAGTGAGCGCAGCAAACGAGCTCCAACCTAAAGGTGAGTGAGCGTAGCGAACGAACTTCAACCAGGACTTGAATGAGCCATGCGAATACTTATGAAGTTAAACGGGGCGAAGCCCGCGGGTACAGCTAGTATATAATATATTGGCTATACATATACAAACATTTGAACGAATAGTGTTTTTGGCCTCTAGAGACATCAAAATGGAAAAGTATATCGGTGCCGGAACTAAGTGCTACCTACGGTAATAGCTACTTCCCTATAGGAAAATTAGATAAAAGAGTGTCATGTTTAAAATGTTTAAAATTGACAACAATTTTTTGTAAGTATTAAAAGATATACATTTGCTTCACACAATCATAACCTCCGCAATTACTTAAAATACTTTTTATTTTTTATTTCTGTCAATACCTATATATTATACAGGGCAATTGCTGTTTAATTTTGAAGCTTTTTATTGCATGAAACGGAGATTCAGATGTTACTGTTCC